CAATTACTGAAATTATCTCAAGGGAATTATACTGACAGGAAGAAAATCAATCTCAAAAGTTTATATACTATGTGATTCCATTTATAAAACATTCTTGAATGACAAAATTAAAGAGATGGAAAACAGATTAGTGGTTTCTGGGAAACGGGGAGGGAGGGGAGAAAGCAGATGTGACTGTGGTGAGCACTGTTAAATATTGCAACTGGTGATGGGGCTCAGGACACACCACCCCCAAAATATGGTATGTTGGCATATTGAATATTCTAAGCTGAAGGAGTTTGAGAAAATGGCAAAAACAGGGAGGTCATTCTGACCACCTGTTCCCTTCTTCCCTAAAAGCAGGAGATAAATCTTTCATGTAAAATGACCCTTCTGCACCAAGAGGAAAGATGACATTCTAATCACCAGAGACTGGGTATTTGGGGCTGAGAAATCTGTGCAAACTACCTTTATCTTCCTAGTTTCTTCTTCGTCATTTACTACCCCTAGCCCAAACACCTTTGTCTTGTCAATTCTTCATCAATGTAGTATTTCTTGGTCTAAAAGGTATGAAAGTAGGATGTCAAGGTGGCTCAGTCAGTTAAGAATCTGTCCCTTGATTTCAGCTCAGGTCATGATCTCATGTTTTGTGAGATGGAGCCCAATGTCCGGCTCTGCGCTGTCAGCACAGAACCTGCTTGAGATTCTCTCTCTCTCTCTCTCTCTCTCACTCTGCCCCTCCCTTGTTCACGCTTATAATGCAGAGCCTGTTTGGGATTCACTCTCCCTCTTTCTGCCCCACTCTCAAAATAAATAAATAAACATTTAAAACATTAAAAAAATAATAAAAGGTATAAAAGTTTCTTGCTCTATTCACTCACTTCTTCAGGTCTTCGTTCTCTACTGAGGGCTCCCATTTACAAGTACACATTCAATAAAATGTCTACGCTTTCCCCTGCTAATCTGTTATTGTCAATATTATTTTCAGACCCATCCAGGAATGCAAAGAGGACTCCAGAAAACTCATCCATCCTCACGGTGATGCCAGGTAAATGAATCAACACCTGTGACAAAATTGAATAGAAATAAGCACACAAACACATACACACACCTGCATGCATGTAAAATTAGTAAAATAGGAATAAGGTTGGTGGATAGTATTATTTTCTTAGTTATGCAGGATGCTGTCTTGGGGGAGAGCCTGAAGGGAACCCTGATTTGTCTGTATCGTTTCTTACAACTGCATGTGAATTTAGAGTTAACTCAAATAAAACATTTAATTAAAAAAAGCATGCTTAAGAACTTTCTTATTTAGTATGAACCAGTTAAGTGGGATATATTTTCTCTGATTCTATATAATTTTATGTCATTTTGGTAGTTTGGAATATTTCCATCACTGGAGATAAATAATTCATAAAAAAATTAGCAAGCAATTAGAATTCATTAATCAGAAAATTGATATTGTGAACATGAATCAGCTTGAATGGAAACATTTACCCTTTGTGGTTAGAAAATTTATCTCTCTACTTCATCCAGGAATTGGCTCTAAAATGCATGAGTTCATTACCAAATAAAAATCAAAATTCTCAGAATCTTGGCATACTAGGTTATTATTTCACAGAAAAATTCTGAAATTGTAGAAATCTTAGAAATTGAAAAAGAGCTTTCCTTTTGCTTTTCCTATGAAGCGAATAGGCAATGATAACTGCAGTGACAACTAATGAGTGAAATTCTTATTTAATAAAAAAGGTGGATAAGCCTGTCATAGGTCAGTATGATTTTTAATAAGTATTTTATGTTATGGGGCAGCTTGGTGGGTCAGTCGGTTGTGTCTGACTCTTGATCTCAGCTCAGGTCATGATCTCACAGTTTGTGAGTTTGAGCCCTACATTGGGCTCTGCACTGACAGCATGGACTCTGCTTGGAGTTCTCTATCCCTCCCTGTCTGCCTCTACCCAGCATGCACACACTCTCTCTCTCTTTCAAAATAAATGAATACACTTAAAAAAAAACATTTTATGTTAAAATAGTTTTAGATTTATGAAAAACTTGTAAAGATAGTACAGAAAGTTCCCACATACCTCAAACTCAATTCCATCCATCATTAACATCTTACATTATTATGGAACATGTGTCGCAATTAATGAACCAACATTATTATTATTAACTAAACTCTATACCTTATTGAGATTTCCTTAGTTTTTACTTTGTGCCCACTTTTTATCCCAGCATCCCATCTAGGACACCACGTTACATTTTGTTGTCATGTGTCCTCAAGCTCCTTTCAACTATGACAGCGTTTCAGGCTTTCTTGGTTTTATTGACCTTGCTTTGAGCAGTTTGGAGGCTACTAGCAGGTATTTTGCAGAATTTCCCTATGGGTATTTGTGTGATATTTTTTCCCCCACAATTAGACTGGCATAGTGGGTTTGGGCAAGACCAGAGATAGAATGGAATTCTTATCACAGCTTATCAAGGGCATTACCAGGATTTTGACATCTGAAATTTTAACATGAGGGAATCCAACAGCTCTGGAGAGGCGATGCAGAGGCATGGGCTCCGGTCTCCAGTTGAAGAGAAGGAGCTGGATAACTGTGACCCTTGAGTTGGCCTTCTTTATGCACTCGTTTATTCATCTGAAGACTAAATTTCTACCATTCCTAAAATTCTGTCACACCAGCCAAAGGCATCAAGGTGTTCTGTTGGAACAGATCTCATGCATTTCCTTAGAATGTGGGCCATCTTCATTGAACAGACATTTGTGTGATACATGACATGCTGGTAAGAAGAATGGACACAGGCCTGAATCCTGAGTCAAGCTGCAGTGCACTGCAGTGCCAAGCCCCTACTCTCTGCCTAGTGGGGAATTTTATCAGCACCCAAATTGGAATTTAGTTCAAACAATGACATGGGGTTTTCCTCCATTCTTCCTCTGCTGGGTATCCCCTCCTGCATCCCTATCATAACAATCACAAATCCACGTCTGAGTTAAAGCCAACCTCTGCCTATTGCAAGTTTAAGAAAACTATTCTATTTAAGTGGATTTAAATGGCCATACTACTTAATTGATACATATGTATTTGTTTCCATTTACACACAAAAGTTAAAATCAGATTTGCCGAGAAGCACCAGAGCCAAAAACATTAAGTACCTCGATTTCTTTCTTTTTTCTTCTTTTTTAAGTCACCCCTCTCACCATCTGGTATAGTTTCCAAAAAAGCACTGAAAACGTGGTAGAACAGGGAAATCAAAAAAGGACTTGGGAGGCCCACAAACTGGGTCATCTGTCTTTGACAAATGGAGGATTCCACTGTGCTCAGCTGCGTCATTCCCACACCCCTCAACCTTGCAGAATTTAAGAGCCTTCGTCCTTCTCATTTGGTCATTGATAGCAAGTCACCAGGAGGAATGTAAGCAAGGCACTAGATTCCTGCATTGTTCAGAACATTTGGCAAATACAGATGGTGTCTTCTATAAGGTAGATACATACATAGGTTTTCCTCCAGTGGAAAACAGCTATCCTAAAGCAGATAGAAAATTCTCCCTGACATTTGGAAAATATCAGTGTCCACAGAGGGGAGGAACAGTCTATTGGCAGTGGAGTTAAACTTCTGTATTTTAAATAGGGAAACAACCAGTTCGAGAGTGTGTGCCCTACATCTATGCATTGTTTGTTAATCATTCTTCTAAAATGAAATATTTTGTCTCTTTCCACTAAAATTTTTATTTCTCTTAGCTTTTTGTATAACACACAATCTTTTTTTTTTTTTTTTTTTTTAAATTATCCAGAACTAACCTTTGACCTTTGGGAGTGACTTTAATGCTTGGCAGAAAAAAAGCATAGTCATGGCAGGAAAACTGCTTTGGTAGCTTAGGCCTTCCCCCCCCCCCCCTTCCCACACACACTTGTAAAAAAAAAATTCTCTATCTGTTTTTAAGGTATATTTTATAAACAAAATTGTATATATTTAAGTGGACAACATGATGCTTTGACATACACATACATTGTGAAATGTTTACTGCAACCAAGTTAATTAACACATCCATCATCTCACATAGTTATCTTTTGTGTGTGTGGTGAGAATACGTAAGATTTGCTCCTTTAGCAAATTCGAGTGTACGATACAGTCGTATTGACTATAGTCCCAATGTTGTGCATTAGACTTACAGAACTCATTTGTCTTATAGCTGGAGGTCTGCACCCCTTGAACGACATCTTCCCATTTCTCCTAGGCCCCCACACCCTGGCAACCACCATTCTACTGATTCTGAATTCAACTTTGTTTGGTTGTTTGTTTTGATGGCTTTCAGGTCAAATCTGTCCCCCTTCTCTCACCAAGTAAACATTGCCGCCGCTCAAATTGTGAAAACCATCATTCTAGACATCATTAATGGAGGGATACTTATTGATGTCTTTGCCGGCTTCTCTTCTACTTAAATGAATAATGTGGGAGAGTTAAAAGGCTCAGTCCTAGACCTTCCATCAATTTTTGGCCTTAATTTTCTCTCTAGGGGAACTCACTCATTCCCATGGCTTTCAATACAATCTATAGATATTCTATTTTTCTTTCCTTTTCTTCAAAGCTGACTTCCAAAGCATAAACAAGTTCTTATGGCTCTACTTTCAAAATATATTCCAAATCCGTTTCTTCATTTTGTTTACTCAGTGTCCTCCCTAATGCAATCCACCATTAACTCTCTTCTTAAAAATTTTTAAATGTTTATTTACTTATTTATTTTTGAGGGAGAGGGAGAGAGTGCATGTGTATGTGTATGAACAGGGGAGGGCAGAGAGAGAGATGAAGAGAGAGAATCCCAAGCAGACTCCGTGTTGTCAACCCAGAGCCCGACGTGAAGCTCAGACTCATGAACTGGGAAATCATAGTCTGAGCCAAAACCAAGAGTGAGACACTTAACTGAATCAAAAGAGGGGCCCCCATTTTTGAATTTTTAACTGAAATACAGTTGACATATAATATTATGTTAGTTTCAAGTATACTGCATAGTGACCCCACCCTTACCTCTTTTGGAGACTACTGCAGATGACCTCCTAGCTTGTCTCTCTGCTTCTATTCTTTTCCTAATAACATTTCTTCTCTTTATAGCAAGAAATATTTTTAAAAAAACAAAACAAAACAACAAATCATAAATTAGATTATATTATCCTCCTGCTTAAATCTACCAATGGCTTCTTGTTACATTTTCTTTTCTTTTTTTTATATTTTTATTTATTTCTAGGAGAGAGAGAGAGAGACAGTGTGAGCAGGGGAGGGTCAGAGAGAGAGGGAGTCACAGACTCTGAAACAGGCTCCAGGCTCTGAGCTGGCAGTCAGCACAGAGCCCGACGCGGGGCTCGAACCCACGAACCACGAGATCCTGACCTAAGCGAAAGTCGGATGCTTAACCGACTAAGCCACCCAGGCGCCTCTCTTGTTACATTTTCAATACAATCCAAATTTCCAGAGTGCCTGGGTGGCTCAGTCAGTTAAGCATCCAACTTCAGCTCAGGTCACAATCTCATGGTTTGTGGGTTCGGGCCCCACATTAGGCTCTGTGCTGACAGCTCAGAGCATGGAGCCTGCTTCAGATTCTGTGTCTCCCTCTATCTCTGCCCTTCCCCTGTTCTTTCTCTCTCTTTCTCAAAAATAAGTAAACATTAAAAAATTAAATTAGGAAATCGAAATTTCCTATACTGACCTACAAAGCTCTATATGCTTTGGCCTCTACCTACTTTGCTGATCTTAATTCTTACCACTTTCTTTTTTGTCCCCTAACTTCAGTCATGGTGGCTTTCTTTTTGTTTTTGTTTCTGTTTTTTTTTTTTCCTCCTTAAACATGGCTACCTGCTACCTGCTCCTGTCTACATTCACTAGTTTCTCTACCAGAAGTTCTCTGACTCTAGACACAGAAAACTATCTTCTTCCAACCAATGTAAAATCACTCACCCTCCTTTACCTCCACTCATTATACAGTATAACAGCTGGTTTTCTTTTCCTTACATTCTCTGAATTGTTCTGTCACCACATTCTAGGAAGCAAGTATTAGAAGTTCAGGCACCTTTCAAATTTCATTCATTCATGCACCCACAGAATCCATAACAGAGCCTGGCATTAGGTAGGCACTCAAAGTTAATTTCAATTAATTAGTGAAATGTATGTCTGTAAGTCCTGCTAGTACTGGATCCTCACCTTTTCCAATGTTTATAAAAGACCAACAAGCCATTTTATTGCTGTTTACATTTCTAATTACATAACTTTGATGCGTGTGTAGCTTAGGAGTCACTAATTGTGGTTTCTTTTCAGAGGTCTCCCGTTTTTTCAGTTCAGAGTTCAAGGAGAGCTGTTTGGATGTTTCACCATTGCCCTCAAATGACTCCAGGCTCTAAGTATCGAGGGACATTGTGGCAGAGTTGCAGATGTAGACAGTCTACAAGTGAAGTGCTCTTACTAATGAACCCATGTTCTCTTGAGTCAGAAGGGAAGATTGGCTGAGTGCAAGCACTGGAAATATCCTTCCTCTCTTCTGAAGTCTGGAAGTAGGTACATAAAGAATTCTATGTGTCTTTGGAAACTCAAATAATCTCTTTTGCCCTATTTCCTCACTAGATTATGACATCTGACTCTTCCAATATAATCTTAGGTCAGCTCACCTGGCATGAGCTCCTAGACTAATCCAGGGACCCTCCATTTCATTTGAAATGCCTGACCTCACCCTAGTAATCTCTTGAGTCCTCACAGCCATGCTCACTTTATTGCTATGTCCAGGAAAAAAAAAATTTATTATTTTATTTTTTATTTCAAGTCCAGTTAGTTAACATATAATTTAATACTGGTTTCAGCAGTAGAATTTTGGGATTCATCACTTATATACAACATGAAAAACTAATTTGCTGATCTTCTTAATGCTCACATGCCCTGGAATTCCACATATACATCCATTGTTTACTAAAGCCTATACTTTCTCTCTGAAGCCAAATGAAAACCTAAGTGTTCAGCTAAAACTTCAGTACATATACACACTGCTCACCCCTAAACTCTCCATTTCTTTCCAGTTAACAAAAGATGACTCAGTAATGCAAAAAAAATGTCTAAAGTGCAAATTCACATCCAAGTATCTGCATTCTAGAGTTTCACTTCTGAATTCCTTCTTCTCATCTAAAATATAGCAATACCAAGAAAATTAAAGAAAATTATTAATATTTGCTCATAACTAAACCTATACTCAACATTGCTTAGTATCTCCATTAGTCCCTAAAAATTTGCATTAGGAAAGATTATTAACAACCTTTTCATAGTAAAATTAAAATTATAACAATTATGGAGCATTTGTATTCTGAGGGATGCCCACATGCAGAGAAAAACCTTTCTGTGTATAATTTCTTTCTCCTATTTTTCCTCTTGTCCAACAATACAATTTTCTTCTTTTCAAGACCAGGAAATGCTTTCAAGTTAAAAAGAAGAGGGAAGAAGTTGGTGTTAACTAAAATTTCTTTAGAGAGATGATCAGTAGCTACTTAGGGAAATGTATAGGAGGAGGACAAAAATCTAGGCATGGATTTAAGAAGTACTAACTTTTACATGTTAATAAGCCTTTTTAAATCAACACTTCTGACATAAAATGTGTGGGGTTTCCCCCCCAAGAAATTCTCTACTTCACTAACTGAATGCCTTTTAAGTTAATTCTTATGTTTACACTGCAATTCTTACACTACCCAGAGTTAAAGCAGACCCCACAGGTTAAGAATTCAGTCCCAAAAAGACTGCCTCCCACTTTAGATCCAATTCTAAGTCCCACGTTGTCACTTGTACTTCTGACCTATCAGCTATAAATAAGAGGTTCTAATAACAACCTCCATATGTTTGGTAATTCGTTGTAACAGCACACCAAACTCTGTAAAACACTTTATTTATAGTTATAAGCTTATTAATAAGGATATTATAAAGAATACAAACAACAGTCAGATGAAAAGGTATATAGGCCGAGGTCCAGAACGAGCTCTGTTCTTGTGGAGTTGAGTATGCCAGCCTCCTGACACGTGGTGGGTTTACCAATCTGGAAGCTCTCTAATCCCATATTTTAGGGGGTTTTGTGGAGGTTTCTTTATGTGGGCACGAGTGATTAAGTCATGGTCGTTGGTGATTAACTAAAAGATACAACCATCTAATCATGCCTTGGTCTTTCTGGCAAGCAGCTCCCTTCCTGAAGTGACCTAGGGGCTCCTGCCATCAGTCATCTCATTAGATAATAAAAAGACACTCGTCATTTATGATATTCCAAGAGTTTTAGAAGCTCTTGTATTGGAACCAGAGAATAAAACCACATACTCTAACAAAAAAATGCTTCTATCATCCCAAACAGGGGTTTTAGGAGCTCTGTGCCAGGAACCAGGGACCGAGACCAAATACAAACTTCTTATCATCTCACATCATAGCTGTTTTGACAGGGAAATGTACATATTAAAAAAAAATCCTATGTGAAATAATCCACTTGCTACAAAGTATCTGACAGAAAATGGATAAGCTTTCAGAAAGCAGCTATCAGCCACAGGTGAGGCCCTCTTTCTTCAACCACAGTTACCCTATTCTCTTTCCCTTGTCAGAATTTCTGAGTAGGTCAGAGGCTGTTGTTGTCTATGTGTCCCTCGATACAAATCTAGGTCTGAAAAATCATGCATGGGGGTGACGAAACCCCCAAAGGAGTCAGGCCTACATTTGGCACATAATCTTTAAAGCTCAGCACAGATGATACGTTCAAGTTTTAAAATAGGTTCTAAACTAAAAAAGATTATAATTTGGAAATATGAATAGTTGTCAAAAATTTACCTGCTTAATTTCCCTAATATGACTTTCCACCCCATGTCCCTGCCTTTATCCCTTCTCTGCTATATTCAACTTTCTTCCTTTTCCCTCTCTTTTCTACCCAGATAATTATTAAGTGTGTTCATTCAAGTCCACTATGCCTGATGAAGAAGCAAACATCTCCGTCTTCAGTTATCTGTAAGACATACTTAGCTACTGAGTTTAGGAGAGGTACTAGTTTCTTTATCACTGTACCACAAATTACCACACATTTTGTGGCTGAAAGTAACACACGTGAATTGTCTGTCTTATAGTGTCTATGGATCAGGAACCTGGAAACACTTTAACTGAGGCCTCTACTTAGGGTCTCATACTTAAGGTATTGGCCAAGATGCATTCTTATCTGGACACTCTATGGGGAAGAATGTGCTTTCAAGTGCACTGAGGTTGTTGGTAGAAATTTCCCCCCTTTCATTATAGGACTGAAGGCCTCAGCTACTTGCTAGGTATGAAGTGGTAATGCAATGTAATGAGGCAGACACATAGCAAAGTGGTCTTCCCAACATAGCCTCTTACTTAACTAAGCCAATGAGGAGAATTCTTAGCATCAGTCTGCTAGCAAGAAAAAGTCTTAATACTGTAATATAATCACAGGAATGATAGCTCATCACTGTTGTAATATTCTATTGGCTAGAAGCGAGTCATAGGTTCTACTCACCCTCAAGGAAAGATAATACAGAATTACAAATATTAGGAAATGGGGATCGTAGGAAGCTATTTTATATTCTGTCTACCATAGGAGAGATTGGAAACACTAAAAAATTACATAGAAGTTTTGTGGTTTCAGGTATTACATCCAAGTCTTCAATTCATTTGGAATTAATTTTTGTCTATGGTGGAAGATAGTAAGACTTGAAACCATAAAACTCAGCAGAAAACATAGGTGGTAAGCTCTATGACATAGGTGTTGGCACAGATTGTTTTTAATATGACACAAAAGGGAAAAGCAACAAATGCAAAAGTAATAAGTGGAATGACATCATACTAAAAAGCTTCTGCACAGCAAAGGCAATCATCATCCAAAAAAAAAAAAAAACCACTGAAGAGGAGAAAATATTTTCAAATCTTTTATCTGATAAAGGATTGAGATCTAAAATACATAAAGAACTCATACAACCCAATAAGAAAAACACCCAAACAACCTGATTAAATAAATGGGCAGAAATCTGAATAGACATTTTTCCCAAAGAAGACATACAAATGGTCAAAGGGTACATGAAAATATACTAAGTGTCATCAATCATCAGGGAAATGCAAATCAAAACCACAGTGGGGTACCACTTCATACCTCTTAGAATGGCTATTATCAAAAAGAAAAGAAAAGGAAAGGAAAGAAAAGAAAAGAAATGACAAGTGTTGGCAAGGAGTGGAGAATAGAAACCTCATGCATCTTTGGTAGGAATGTGAACACAAGCCTCCCCTGAAACCAATTTAGGTCAAGAGCCTAACAGATCAAACACCCATATTTATTAAAATATTTTTGACCACCAGAAAAGATATACCATGTCTACTGAAACTTTAAACTCCAGTAGATCTAAAGAGAAATCTTCCCAGCTGTGCTCATAAGTCTACCCATATTTCATAATAAATAAAAAATTACCAGAGGTGATAAAGTCAAATAGAAAATATGCACTAAAATTTAAATAATTTACCTCTTCTACAGAAATATATATCATGTTCTAACCTAAAAATACTAGGCTTCAAACTTGTGTTTTGTTTCCCACAGGTATCTGTATTAGCACAAAAGCATTAATCTATGTATTAATGTTTTCAAGACCATGTATAATGTATTTCAAAATTAATCACATGCTCCTTTGATCACATGCCCCTTACAGTGCTCAAGTAGTCCTAGATGAGTAGATTCAGAGAATAAAACTTTAATGTAAAAGATGATGTAAATATTTAATCAAGATTATCTTGGGTCCATTCCCATTAATCATTCCCACTTGGCATATCTGAGGGTAAGGATGTGCAATTATACTACCTAAATAAATATTGCTCTGATTTATTTCCTCCTTTCCATCTTAGTTATCACATCTGAGCTATTATCATTGTCTGCTACTTTTTTTATTTTATTTTTTTAAATTTTTTTTAATGTTTTTATTTATTTCTAGGGAGAGAGAGAGAGAGACAGCGTGAGCAGGGGAGGGTCAGAGAGAGAGGGAGACACAGACTCTGAAACAGGCTCCAAGCTCTGAGCTGGCAGTCAGCACAGAGCCCGACGTGGAGCTCAAACCCACGAACCGTGAGATCATGACCCAAGCGAAAGTCGGACGCTCAACCGACTAAGCCACCCAGGAGCCCCTGCTACTTTTTTTAATTATTTTTTTTCTTTTTAGAGAAAGAGAGAGAGAACATGAGAAGGAGAAGGAGCCAGGGGTGGGGGAGACAGAGAGAGAGAGAATCCTAATGTTCCACATTCACTGTGGAGCCAGATACAGAGTTCTATTCAACGACCCTGGGTTAGGTTAGGTTATTCCACCATTTCATCAAGCCAGTGGATGGGGGTATGTGATGATGCCTTTGAATCTCACCTTTCCTTTACTTCTTTTACTATAAAATAAGTTACTTGCAAAGAAAGTTATGTAAGATACCACAAAGGTAAATAAAGCATTCAGTAACTCCACAGATGGTGATACTGATAGAAGAAGCAATGAGGGTAGGGAATGCAAATTCATACCCAGAGTGTCTGTTTGAGAACAAATTGTCACTGGTGCTTCTCTGTCATCAATCCACCACCAAACGGTTAGTTGATCCCCCGAGGAATGAAAATAAGAAGAGGGCTCAACAATAGTCTCTACTCTTGATAGGTTGGACTCCTGGCTGGTGGCTTAATAGCCAGATGAACCATCATGTCTTCCTCACAACCTCATACTTGGGTGATGAGGCAGATGAAAACGCTCACTGCAACTTGGAGCATTCTAATTGATTGCAGTGGGAGAGCAGGCACAGTAGGAAGTTGGGAGAAAGGCTAGACTTGAGACAATTCTGTTTCCGAGACTCTTTCCCAAGGCCCAATTAGACTTGCTTTCCAATCCCTTGCTTTTGTTTTTGCTAATTTGACTTTGTAAAAAGAATTAAGGATTTGTAATTTGTTTAGACCTATGGCAGTCTGACTTCCAGAAGTCTAAGATCACAGTTCAAAAGAGTTTTATTATTGTTGCAAGATAAGTAGTTTAAGATATAATAACCTACAACTCTAAACAACTCACATGTTTTTTGACTAGTGGGTAAAGAAAATAGGTTATTCTCATACAATGAAATATTATGCATCAATTAAAGGGAACAAGCTATTGATACACATAATAAAATGGATAGTATCTCAAAAATATTATATTAAGAGGAAAGAATCCAGAAACAAAGTGTAGACCTACTATATTATGGCATCTATACAAAATTCTAGAATCACAAAATTAATCTATAAATGGCAGAAACCAGGTCAGTGTTCACTACATTTGGGGATGGGACAGATAACTGCAAAGAAGCATGAGGAATTTCTTTGGGATGACAGGAATGCATATCTTGATTAGGATGGTGGTTACACAGGCAAATATATCTTTCAAAATTCCTTAGTCTCTATACTAAAAATTATGCATTTTAATATAAATTTGCCTCTATTGAGTTGGTTTATGTAGAAAAAAATAAAGAAAGAGCAAGTTTCAGAGATGAATGTAATGAATTCAGGTTTTTCAAACATCCCAATAGGCAGTTGAAAAAAAATTACTTCAGGTTCCTAGAAGCATTTTGAGCAGAGATTTGACTACAGGGTCCTCTGCATTTAAAACATTAATTCTTAACCACAGCTACATGTCAGAGCCATTAGAGAGATACTGAGTACAATAATATCTGGGCCTTAACCCCCAGAAATTCTGACCTATTTAGTTCCAAGAGAAGCATAGAATATATAGTATTGTTTTAAATGTAGTCAAGTCATGTGCAGTCAGGCTTAGATACCATTGATATAAAGCGTTATTGAAATTATGTCTGTAGACATGACCTCTTTCAGAAAGCTCATAAGATGAGAAAAGGAGTAAATATCATAGACAAGAGGATGTTGATATTTAAAAGGTTAAAAATTTAAAAAGTAAGGAATCTTTGGAAAAAGACTTCTGATGGTGTGCTTATCAACAAATACAACAAATGGCTAATAAAATAATACTATGAACAATTTTATGCAAATTTGACAACTGGGGAAAAAATGGACCAATTTTTGAAAAATACAATTCACCAAACCAACACAGGAAGAAACAGATTTATATCTATTGTAGAAATTCAATTTCTTATCAAAAGCCTCAGAAAAGAAAACTCCAGGCCCAGATGGTTTCAGTGGTGAATTATATAAGAAATATTCAAGGAGGAAACAGAACTAATTTTGCACAGATGATTTAGAGGAGGTAGAACCAATGTTCAGTTCATTTTATGAGGCCACTATAACACCAAATACCAAAATCTGGTAGATATTACAAAACAGAAAAATATTAAAGATCAACATGCCTCATGTAAATGGATGAAAAAGTACTTTACAAATATTAGCAGATCAAATCCAGCAGTACTTAGTTGGTAGTGAATTGCCCCTTGAGCGCATGGAA